TATTCAACACACGTCTTGCGACAAGCTACCCCCAGTTCGGATCATCCTAACATACAACGTCGAGGAGTTGTGCTGACGCATTNTGCCAAGTGGTTGTAGGATTGTGTGGTACGTGGAATGTATTTCCAGGATGTGCAAGGTACCCCTGTTGTATACTGCGTCGCCCCCTCATGGTGGTGCGTGCACGCGTGCGTTCAGGTTTATGTAAGTTCATGTGAGTTCATGTGAGTTCATGTGAAGAAGAAGTTTATGCAACAAACCCTACACGTCTTTCCTCCTTGGCGCGAGCTCGCCGAGTTGCCGACACCCTATTCAACACACGTCTTGCGACAAGCTACCCCCAGTTCGGATCATCCTAACATACAACGTCGAGGAGTTGTGCTGACGCATTATTCACTTGTTGCTTCTGTTGTAGCCCAGCAGGAACCAGAGTATGTCTGGTTTCGTTCGGTGCCCAATTCCGTTGTCGGCGGGAAGCGTTGACTATTATTGCCGTATCGACTTTCTCAGGAATGTTCCTGTTGTTACTTTTGGTGATGAGCGTGAGGCCTCGCCTCGTAAGAGCAGCAGGAGCCACGTGCGTGAAGGGGACCACGAGCTGTCTCGTAGAATAAGCCGAGGTTGACACGAAAGCTCGACGTCGTTGAGACCCATGCGTTGGGAATCAAGGTGTGTGTGTTTACAAGAGCCAGCAGGCATCGCGACCCTACAGTTTGTTATTTCACCATTTCGATTTTGGATTGTGTCGAAGGCAGCGCTCTAAATGCTAAAGTCCGTAGTTGCAACTGTGACCAATCGAAGTTCTTGGTTCATGGAGCAGCTCTAGTAGCTCTCGGATACGTGAGTGATTATAACAGACGCAAAATTTTCGAAAAGATCAAAATCAGTCTTGGATGTCAGTTCCACGCATTTCTTCGGCAGTGGGTACTTGACGCAGCCTTCTTCTTTTGTGAGAAATCCCGCGAGCGTCATGGTTCAAGGTTGGCTGGACGGGGGCTAAAGTCTATTCCCACACGTCTCGACGCCATTGCCGATACGACCTGGCGAAATTGCAGCGCAGGGTTGCAACCGGGATGAGCTCAGAGCGGCTTCGAATGCTTTTCGACCGTGGTATCGCACGATTTATCATAGAGGGTAATATTAACCGTGACTTCTACATGCCTCTCAAACATTTTGACAAAGCCAGTGAGAAGCGAGCGCGAGATGATCACAAGCACACCCACAGAGAGCGGTAATTGATGACGGCCACATCGAAATGCTGAATTACTTCTTGGTGCCAGCAATAAACTTGGGAACTCCCCGTCCGGGACCGAACCAAGCTGGAAGAACGAAATTTTATTCGAAGCAATGTGGGTTGCCCGTGATGGAAACCCGCGGCAGGGTTAAACGTGTTGGGAGTCTTCGAGACACTCTCCACCACCGTTCAGTCAAACGAGCGAAAAAAATCAACAGTCCGGCGGGGGTCCTCTCCCTGCACCGCCGCAGAAAAAAAAAACATTGTAGAGCACCACCGCTGACCTGCACATTTATTGTTCAAGCGCCACCAAACAATATAAGTCCGGTCACTTGTCAAGCCAAGTAACCCACATCAAAGGAACCGCCACCGTGCGACCGCAAAACAAATCACTGGTTCCGGTGATTCTCGAAGAAGAACACCTGTCACCACTACTCCGATTCCGCGTCATCCGCCACGGAAGGAGGGACTTCCAATCATGCACCACCCGCCACAGCAGCAGCAGCAGCAACAGCAGCAGCGGCATCAGGAGAAGCTCAAAAAAAAAAGGGAGCCCCCCGAAACACCGGTTGGCGCTGTTGGCAAAGCGCTGTAAAACACGCCACCTCAAACATTGCCCCGATAGTATGCGCTACCAAAGACGCGTGACGCACGGATGCGTGGAGTGAAGATTGCTTACGGAAACCTCACAGATTGAGTGATGTAGGAGATTGTCGGACACATAGACGTGTTGAGTTGTTGTTGTTGCTGCATTGACGTGTTGATTGAGTGATTATAGCTGTATACTGAAACCCCACGGGTTGAGTGAGGTTTGAGATTGCCAGACACATGGACGGGTTGAGTGGGGATAGCTGCATACTGAAACCCCACGGGTTGAGTGATGTTGGAGTGCCGGACACATTGACGCGTTGAATGAGGATAGACACATATTGAAACTCACAGGTGATTTGTATTGGAGATTGCGAGACACCTAGCCGTGTTGATTGAGTGAGGATAGCTGCATACTGAAACCTCACAGATGCATTGGTTTTTGAGTTTGCCAGACAAATAGACGGGTTGAGTGGGGATAACTACATACTGAAACCTCACAGATGGATTGGTTTTTGAGTTTGCCAGACACATAGACGCTCTGAGTGGGGATAACTACATACTGAAACCTCACAGATGGATTGGTTTTTGAGTTTGCCAGACACATAGACGCTTTGAGTGGGGATAGCTACATACTGAAACCTCACGAGTTGAGTGATGTTGGATAGTGCCGGACACATGGACGATTTGAGTGAGGAAAGACACACACTGAAACCTTACAGGTTGATTTGTATTGGAGATTGCCGGACACATAGACATGTTGAGTGAGGATAGCTACATACATACTGAAACCTCACAGATGGATTGTATGTTGAGTTTGCCAGACACATGGACGCTTTGAGTGGGGATAGCCACATACTGAAACCTCACGAGTTGAGTGATGTTGGATAGTGCCGGACACATGGACGATTTGAGTGAGGAAAGACACACACTGAAACCTTACAGGTTGATTTGTATTGGAGATTGCCGGACACATAGACATGTTGAGTGAGGATAGCTACATACATACTGAAACCTCACAGATGGATTGTATGTTGAGTTTGCCAGACACATGGACGCTTTGAGTGGGGATAGCCACATACTGAAACCTCACGAGTTGAGTGATGTTGGATAGTGCCGGACACATAAACGCTTTGAGTGAGGAAAGACACATACCGGAACCTCACAGGTGATTTGTATTGGAGATTGCCGGACACCCAGACGCGTTGAGTGAAGATACCTGCATACTGACACCTCAAAGATGGATTGGTTGTTGAGTTTGCCAGACACAGTCTAGACGCGCTGCGTGGGGATAGCTACATACTGAAACCTCACGAGTTGAGTGATGTTGGATAGTGCCGGACACATAAACGCTTTGAGTGAGGAAAGACACATACCGGAACCTCACAGGTGATTTGTATTGGAGATTGCCGGACACCCAGACGCGTTGAGTGAAGATACCTGCATACTGACACCTCAAAGATGGATTGGTTGTTGAGTTTGCCAGACACAGTCTAGACGCGCTGCGTGGGGATAGCTACATACTGAAACCTCACGAGTTGAGTGATGTTGGATAGTGCCGGACACATAAACGCTTTGAGTGAGGAAAGACACATACCGGAACCTCACAGGTGATTTGTATTGGAGATTGCCGGACACCCAGACGCGTTGAGTGAAGATACCTGCATACTGACACCTCAAAGATGGATTGGTTGTTGAGTTTGCCAGACACAGTCTAGACGCGCTGCGTGGGGATAGCTACATACTGAAACCTCACGAGTTGAGTGATGTTGGATAGTGCCGGACACATAAACGCTTTGAGTGAGGAAAGACACATACCGGAACCTCACAGGTGATTTGTATTGGAGATTGCCGGACACCCAGACGCGTTGAGTGAAGATACCTGCATACTGACACCTCAAAGATGGATTGGTTGTTGAGTTTGCCAGACACAGTCTAGACGCGCTGCGTGGGGATAGCTACATACTGAAACCTCACGAGTTGAGTGATGTTGGATAGTGCCGGACACATAAACGCTTTGAGTGAGGAAAGACACATACCGGAACCTCACAGGTGATTTGTATTGGAGATTGCCGGACACCCAGACGCGTTGAGTGAAGATACCTGCATACTGACACCTCAAAGATGGATTGGTTGTTGAGTTTGCCAGACACAGTCTAGACGCGCTGCGTGGGGATAGCTACATACTGAAACCTCACGAGTTGAGTGATGTTGGATAGTGCCGGACACATAAACGCTTTGAGTGAGGAAAGACACATACCGGAACCTCACAGGTGATTTGTATTGGAGATTGCCGGACACCCAGACGCGTTGAGTGAAGATACCTGCATACTGACACCTCAAAGATGGATTGGTTGTTGAGTTTGCCAGACACAGTCTAGACGCGCTGCGTGGGGATAGCTACATACTGAAACCTCACGAGTTGAGTGATGTTGGATAGTGCCGGACACATAAACGCTTTGAGTGAGGAAAGACACATACCGGAACCTCACAGGTGATTTGTATTGGAGATTGCCGGACACCCAGACGCGTTGAGTGAAGATACCTGCATACTGACACCTCAAAGATGGATTGGTTGTTGAGTTTGCCAGACACAGTCTAGACGCGCTGCGTGGGGATAGCTACATACTGAAACCTCACGAGTTGAGTGATGTTGGATAGTACCGAACACACAGACGCTTTGAGTGAGGAAAGACACATACTGTTGGAGTAATTGCAGTACAAGAACGACTCTATTCTACTGCATGGGTTTCTGCAGTATTGTGAAGGCGTTGCCAAGTCTGTAACCGTCAGATGAAGACAGCTTGGGCGTCTGTGTGGATAAAAGTATCACTCTGTCACTCTGTGTGTTTGCCTACCTAACCTTGCATCACATGCTAGCTACTTTGTAGCCACAGCTGAAGGAATAGCTGAACAGCGACTGCAGTGACGGCGCTGTTGCCTCTACACATACTGTAACCTCACAGGGTGATTTGCATTGGAGATTGCCGGACACAGACGTGTTGAGTGAAGAAAGCTACATACTGAAACCTCACAGATGGATTGGTAGTTGAGTTTGCCAGACACATAGACGCGCTGCGTAGGGATAGCTACAAACTGAAACCTCACGAGTTGAGTGATGTTGGATAGTGCCGGACGCATAGACGCTTTGAGTGAGGAAAGACACATATTGAAACACCTCACAGGTGATTTGTATTGGAGATTGCCGGACACCTAGACGTGTTGAGTGAGGATAGAAGCATACTGAAACCTCACAGATGGATTGGTTGTTGAGTTTGCCAGACACATAGACGCACTGCGTGGGGATAGCTACATACTGAAACCTCATCGGTTGATTAATGTCGGAGATTGCCGGACACATAGACGCGTTGAGTAAGGATGGCTGTAAACTGAAAACCCACAGTAGCTATAGTGAGGGGACAATTCGAGTGAAAGATAAACAACGCGGGGTGCAGCAAGCCCGTGTTGGGCGCCTCTTGGGGCAGTGGGTAGTCGGCCGTGATAGGCCGAGAGAGAGAGGTAGAGATAGAGATGGCGTTGGCGTTGGAGAAAGCGTTGCAGAAGGAAACTTGATTGGAGAGAGACGGCGGTAGCGGTGGAGAGAGCGAAAGCAGTGCGCTACATGCGCGAGCCTTCAACACCGCAACCAAGGCCAAAAGGGTCCCTGTATCTGCATCGGTGATACCCATCAACATACTGAATTCCCAACACGTATCCCCCAGGATCCTCACGTTTAGAGACTGCTGCGAGTATACCTAACATCCCCCCTGCTCGCAACAGTGTCTTCACTGCAAATTTCGAAATAATCCCGGATATTTCAACCAAAAGACGTCTTTTCCTGAATATATGCTATCAAGATTACTTCCAAAATATAAGAAACGAAAACCAAGTCCAAGAAACATGAATACCGCTGCATCGCGCGTGATATAAACTTAGCGCGGGAAGCAAAACAATCAAATCGAAAGCCAAACCAAACTCATCAGAAAAGTAATAAAAACTCATGCCAAATTCATCACAAAATCAAGGTGAGACTCGAACGCATCCTTGGGCAAACTCTTCGTAAGAAAGTCTGCACGCTGGTACGGAGACGGCACGTGGATCACCGAAACCTCCTTCCTCTCTACCAGTTCCCTGAGGAAATGGTGCCTTACATCAATGTGCTTCGAGTTCGAGTTCGAGATGGGGTTCTGCGCTAGTTGAATCGCCCCCTGGTTGTCCTCAAAGACTGGGATGCACGGCATGCTGACCTTCGGCAACATAAATCGCCAAACCTGCCTCAAAAACAAAATCTCCTTCACTACATCGCCAAGCGCGACATACTCTGCTTCTGTTGTCGAAAGCGTAACGCATTTCTGCGTTCTGGAAAACCAAGACACAACGCCTCCTCCGCATGTTACTATCCCCCCTGATACCGACCTACGGTCTGCTGCCTTGCTCGCAAAGTCCGCATCAGCGTACCCCTGCAAGCTGAATCCTTCTACCGTACCTCTCTGAAATGAAACACCCATGTAACTCGTCCTCTTCGCATACCCTAATATAGCCATCGCTTCATCCCAGTGCACCTGCTTCGGAGACGCGCAACATCTAGCTACTGCCCTGCATTCGCAATGTCTGGCCTAGTCTGAGTTGCCAGCCACATCAAGATCCTACTAGCTCACGAAACGGAAAGTCTGTCGCCTCTTCATCCGCATCAAAATCAGAAAGCTTGACCCCCGAAGACATGGGAACGCTCTTACCCCCTGGTACTCCATATTCTGCTGCTAGCTCATCCGCAAAAGTCTGCTGAGAAATCGTCAGCCTACCAGTCTCCTTGCTTCTCTCGTACAAGCACCCAGAATACCATCTCAACTCTCCCAGGTTCTTCACCGGCACGGACTTGTTAAGGTCGGCGCCAAACTTGTCACATCTCTCCCTCTCTCCCACAGCAAAAATGTCATCTACATGTACTACCAAAATCAAAACCACACACCCCCCTTCAATCAATCGAAACACACAAGCATCGGCCATGCACTGCTCAAATCCCAACGCAACCAAACACCTCTTCAGCATTGCATGCCACTGCCTAGGTGACTGTCTCAAGCCATACAGACTCTTGCCTAGTATTACAATCATTCCAGATAGAGCTCCACATCCCTGCGGCAATCGCATGTTTACGTCTTCTTCCAACTCCGAACGCACAAAAGCTTGCTCAACATCGAAATGACACAAGTCGAGGTTCAACTCGCACGCCGACGCTGCCAACATCCTGACACACGAAACAGAAACGGTAGGCGCGTACAACTCTCCAAAGTCAATGTACTCTCTCTGCATATCACCTCTCGCTACAAGTCTCGCCTTGACCTTAGTGGCCCATCCAAACTCATCTGCCTTCCAATTGAATACCCACTCCGCGTTTATCGCGTTCTGCACTGATTGCTACTTCGCCGGAGTAAAAGTCCCCGCTTCCAGCAACCCGAAAAACTCCCTTTTCATCGAGTCGCCCCAGAGGTGCCGGTACTCCGACGCCATAGCCTCGTTGTAGCCTCTTGGGGATGCGAAGGTCGCTCGCCTGGTAGTGCGGGAAATCAGGGCGTTGCTCCGGCGGGCGCTGGTCGTGCAGCATGGCATCGATGTCTTCCCGGTTGGCGAGGAGCGTGGCACATGCAAGTGGTAAGCCCGCTCCTCCAGCCCCCAGGTCCACGGCTGCGAGCGCTCCC